CCCCCCCCCCATTCTTTCACATTGAAGGAGCCAGTGTCCAGAGTCAAATAAATCCTGCTTTATACACAGTGAATCGGAATATTCAAGGAGCCTAAAATGACTGTGGATCTAGTAAATGTGGTCAAGCTGCTGCTGCTTATAGCTGAGCTCAGGTGCTCCTCAGAGGTTACTGGTAGCCTGCTGCTTTACTGCAGTGACAGACTTCCCAGTTTTTGCTTATTTGCCCCTAGAAAAGTTATTTTGGCTCAAATATAATTATTGGTTTTTAGAGGTAAAACAAAAAAGTATGTATATCTTCCATACTCTTAAAAGAATCTTTTTCTTTTTTTTTTTGACATGGTGGGCATTTCCTTTTGGTCACCTACAGGCTCAAAGTGTTGCATTTTAGTATTTTAAAAAATGTTATATTAAGAAATATTGTTTAAATTTCTGAGTAGGAAATACATATTCAGAAAAAAAAAATCTTTGAAATGGGCTCAATATTGATTAGTATTCTTTTATCCCCTACCTTGGTTCCACCATAACTCTTTAAAGTTCAAAATAGCTATGGTGGTTTTTTGTTTTGTTTTGTTAATTCTTACCCGGGGATATTTTTTTCCATTTATTTATTTTATTTTTTAGAGAGAGTGGAGGGGGGGGAAGGGCAGAGAGAGACAGAGAGAGAAACATCAATGTGAGAGACACATGTAGATTGGTTGCCTCCCACATGTACCCCGACCAGGCTGGGGATCAAACCTGCAACCCAGGTGCATGCCCTTGACCAGGAATTGAATCGAGACCCTTTGGTGCACCGGCTGACACACTAACCACTGAGGCACACAGGCCAGGGCAGCTGTAGGTTTTTATTGTTACTATAATATTATTTCTGTCGTGATTTCTTTTTATCCATCTACTAATTTTTCTATTACAGAGTCTCCTCAGCTCTAAAAATTGAGGATGAAATTTTTATGACTTTAATTATTACCACAAAATGCTGTAAAAAGGCAGGCCATCTTTGACTTTATGATTCAAGCTTCTAGCCTTTTTATTTCATCTCTCTCTCTCTTTTTTTAGCCAACATTTTCCAAAATACATCTCTTTACCCTGACATAAAATATAAAATACCTATTTGAATTGCCAAGGGAAATAGTTTAAATCTATCATGTAGAACCTCCTAAAAACTTGCCACTCTTCATACAGGTTTTACTATTTTGTGAGTTCTTAGATAGTAGGCAAAGATGGACTTAATTGTAATTTAAAGCACTGCATTGCCTCATTCTCTTTTATTATTGGGTTGACAGGTTAATGTTTATAAATTGCTTTGTGTTCTCACACAAGAGTAGAGAGACTTGCGCAGTTACGTGTACACCAAATGTCTTAAACAGCACATGCTCTCATTAAATATATTACTGAGAGCAAGCGAAAGGTGAGGAGGATGGCATCTTACTCATTTTTATATCTCTTGCCCGCGCCGCCCCAGTGCCTGGTACTTTATAAAAGCTCAATACAACTAAAAATTGAAGGGAAAGATGTCTTGTGTTATCATTAGCAACAGAATCATTTGTGATAGATTTCTCAAGCCACTCACTTTCCCATCTGGTTTTAAATATAATCTGAATATGCTGCCTCTTATTTAAATGGTATTTAATTTTTCACTTCTGTAATTATTGGATTGCTAAATCTTGAGATCAACAAGTTGGACATTCAGCTAATCCCCTTTGCAAATAAAATGGCATCGTTTCTGACAGGAAGGGGATATATAGTCAGCGCAGTGTTTCAGCAGATTGTGACAGCTATTGGTCGAAGAACATTAATCAAGTAACTGAGATGTTATAAAACTGGAAGAAATTACACTGAAACCAGGAATCAAAAGGTCTGCGACTGTCTGGGGTCAGCCTTTGAACCTTCCTGAGGAATTTTAGCATTCCTGGAAGTGTGAATTTAACGTCTCTTCGGTTTTGTGTGCTTAAGACCCTTTTTATTACAGGTAATTTTCAGCGTAAATCAATCAGCTACCTAAGCTGTATTTCAAAACTTTTAAATATCTTTCATTTCATTATCATCACCACGGTTGATTCACTTATGAATCACACAACACTCCCGTTTAGAGAGATTTATTCTCGTATCAGTTTATTTTTTGCCTGGATTTGCCAGAATGCTGTCCTGTTCGTGTTCTGAAGGTTAATGCCCAAAGTCAAGCAGACAGAAGCCAAGTGCTGCAAGGTTTCCAAGATTAGGACTGATTCCCTTCACAGAAATAAATGATTCCTGCCATGTTCGGTGATTTTGTGCAGCGCTGCCCACGGCCGAGTGGGCGCATCAATACCGTAGCCCTTACCTGCTGTACATACTGATGACACCCGGCGTTACCGCGATTGACTGAGCGGTGCCCCGGGGAGGACGCACCTGCGAGCGAAGTGCAGACACATATATTTTTATCCTGGTCTCGAAACATTTATTTTACATTTATTTTACTTGGGAGTCATGGTTTCAGATTCCAGGGGCTTTCAAGCCACACTGCTCAGGTAGTACAAACCTTTGTGCTGCTCTGTTTTCAGAATTATACCCCAAAGATGGTCTCAGGTTTTTACGTTTTGCCAAAGCTTTTGAAGGGAAAATGACATGAAGGTGACTGTTAAGAATCCTGACAGATTAGTAACTCTGTGGAATTTAAGTCTCTGAAGAGGGTCTATCTAATGGGCGAATGGGTCATTTAATTCAATCACAAGAAATCATGTTGGCTCTATTTTTATGTTATATTTTATTACCATGTTTTATAGGCTTTGAGGCAGCAGCAGAAAAGAAGAAATGGAGTCTCAATGATGGTAAACAAGACTGTTCCTCGCGTTGTTTTGACACCATTAAAGGTGTCTGATGAGCAGTCGGATTCGCCTTCAGGTAAAGAGCTCCAGTGTGGTGTGCGTGGCCGGCTTCTCCCCGTGAGACCCTCCCCCAGAGGGGGAGGTCAGGCATTTTCTCTGCAACTGAATAACATTTCCACTTGAGGTTTTGTTTAATTTTTTTTTTTTCTATAGCTTAGATTCTTTCAGTGATTACAAAAAATAGGGTATTTTGCTCTTAAAAAAAAAAAGGTGCCAGCTCACTCATCATCAAAGGACTTCATTTGCTAATGTCAATAGGCAAAAGAAAATATGTGGTACTCCTAGGTGGGTTTTTTTGTTGTTGCTTTGGCTTTTGTTTGAATGTTGAACTTTAATGGTGGACCACATGCTGATGTATAACGCCATCAAAAGCAGTTCTTCTGAGCGTGTGAATTTGTTTTTCAGTCCTCTGCTGCAAAACCAGGGATCCTTTATTAGTTTTTGTGTTCTGGCAACATTCTTCTCACCTCAGTGCAGCCCTGACCTTTTCTAATTTACCTCCTGTCACTTTATCAGCTGTGTACTGGTCTATTTATTATAGACTGATGTTTGCATTTTCTGTTCCTACTTCAACATAAAGTTATTTATAAAGGTATGATCTCTCTTTCTTTCCAAGCTTTCTTCTTGCCTCATCTGTCTTGCACCATCTCTAAGTGATATAGTATTGTTGAAGCTTTTTCGAGTATTTTTACAAAAGATCTGAGTGTTTCTTTTAAAAGCTGTCAGATCAGCGAACGTGTTTTTGACTCCACTATTAGGCCATCTGTTCTTGCTTTTTGTTCTGTTTGATTGATTTATTGGGCTTTCTCTTTGTATCCAGTAAAGGAATTAGATTGTGGCCAAAGGTAGTGAATTAACTCTTAGAAAAGGAGATTATATCTACAGTTTTTAAAACAATTTTAGATTTTTCTTTTCAAGGACAGCAAGAAGAAGATAATGACATAACAACTATTTCCTTTTTTAGGATCCGAATCTAAAAATGGTGAAGCAGACAGTTCAGATAAAGAAATGAAACATGGGCAAAAATCTCCCACTGGAAAACAAACAAGTCAGCACTTAAAACGATTAAAAAAGTCTGGTTTAGGTGAGTGTTCAATAGACTATGACATTTCACATTTTAAAGATTTATATCTTTTTGAATGAAATTATGGAAAACTCTCAGAACATTTTTTTTTAATGGTTAAACAAATTAAAAAAAAAAAAAATCTTTCCAATTTATCTAAACCAAAAGGGTGCTAAATAAAGACATGTAGTTACAATGGAATGACCTTAAGCATTAAGATTATTAAATATTGCTTAAATATTGCTAAACTTGTGAATGACATTATTGGATGAAACAAAAGTTAAAGATAAGACATTTAAAATGATACATGTATTCAGTTAATTATCTGCCAAATCGTGATTCTATCTAATGTGCAATATTTTGTTCCTGCAACTGAATTTCACTTTATATAAGAATATACTGTATTGGAGGGGGGAATGCAACTTTTATAAAGAGTTCATTGAGCCGAGAGTACGTTGCCATTGCTGCTGCAGTAAAGCTGCGTGGCCTTGCTTTTCATCTGTGCTGCCTGAAATATTCAGTAGTGCTTTTCTGAAAAATACTGTAAAATTGCTAAGAAGTGTGGGAGACACAGTCCATGGGTCTTACAAGTCAGCACCAGGGCTTCTTGTAAAGATTTCTTTCCTGATAACGTTTCATCAGGAACTCAACAGCCTCATTCAGGGAAACAGAAAGATTAGAATTAAAAATACGAAAATAAGTGTATCCTGGGTTGAACACTGTAATTCTCTACTGAATCTGCCTTGTTGGAAGTCTGGATCAAATGACTTCATTTATCTTTCTTAGTTATTTCACCTCTGAATAAGGGTAATGATAATGACCTGGGTCATTATAACATTTTGTAAAATGATAGAAACTGCAAATTTATTGACCTGAACTTTATTACTGGTTCTGCCACTTATTTTCTTGGCAGCTTAGGGTAGTTCTTATTTGCAGAGTTTTCCTGTTTGTAAAATTCAAGCAAGATTTTGACTCATTTATTTTTATTTTTTAGTAAAGGTTTATTGATTGCCTACTATATACCAGAAATTTTGCTAAATCTTAGGAACATGCTTTCAATAAAAAGTCTTTGAATAGGATTTATATATATATTTATATATCTTCTGGGAAGCAGAATTTATTTTTGTTTTAATTGTTTAAATATAGGATAATTACTCCTTTTGCATTATTTTAAAGGATAAATAATTCTATAGTTTTTTATAGCCTAAAACGTATGTGTTTGTTTGCGTATAACCACACTTATACTGATGTGTTGTTTTTTCTACTAGCCTTTTGAGTGCTGCAAAATAAGTTATTTAACATGAGTAGCTTCTGAAATAGAAAACTGTAATGGGAGAATGATATGTAAAGAATGTCCTAAAAAATGCCATGTTATGATACCCAAAGTGATTGAAAAGGCAGTGACCTTCAGTTAAGAATAGTCTGCTAACAACCTCAGTAAGTCAGTGTCATATCATAGGTTTAAGAAAATTCAAGGCCTGGGGCCTTGCTATGTAACTACTTAGCTAACTTCAAGACTGGATGTCAGTGACAGTGTGTGCTAGGTAATCAGGATCCTCTCAGGTACTCAGGTCTGCAGTCAGGACCTCTTATAATCTAATTGTTACCTAAATGTCCTGCATGCCAGTAAACATCTTACATGTTAAAAATTGTATGGTTAGAGTACGTTAGCTGACTTATTAACAAATTAAAAAGGCATTGGAGGAGATCACTGTGTTCTTTTTAACCTGCTTTCTTTTAGACTACAAAGTACTAGAAATAATGAAGCTACCCTATGAAGGAATGGAGAAGTAAAATCATATCTTCTGCCCATACTTAATGCAGTCGTCTAGGTATTTTGACAAAAATTACCTTCGTTAGTCCTTACTTCAATTATGTACAGTAGAATTATTTCCATTTTTTTTTAGCTGAAGAAACTGTGGCCTAGAGGGTTAAGGAGGTTTGCCCATAAATCAAAAAGCTAAGATACAAGCCAAGGCACAGCTAGCTCCAAAGTCTTAAACATTAATCTCGGATATGGTCTGACTGTCAACTCATCTGGCCTATATTGTAGACCTGTAGGCACCACTGAGGAGCAACATCGCCCTCTGTGACATGAGCCTGTCACAGGTGTTAAAATGTAGGTACACTAGTTACACATAGAAGGAGAGTGAGCAACTCGAAGATTTCCTGGCTGATCCTGTAAAATGAAACAGATGGGAGGAAAAAGGTGGGATTTAAATTAAGTCAATTAAGGTAAAAATTTGTCAAAAATAAACTGAAGGTAATTACTGAGAAGGAACTGTGACTGACTGACTAACCTAGCAAGCAGCTTAGTGGAATGGCTTATCGTATGCAAATGAAGTCAATAGTACTTATTAAGCCTCCAAAATATGCTCAGTGCTCTAGAATGAAAAGTGAAAAAATGTAAAATGAAAGAAAGAGCCTTAAATGGAACCATCTCCAGACAGTAACCCATGTCTCTTTTAGAAAGCAGTAGTTTTGGTGCTCTGTGACCTTAGAGATCTTACAGAGTAAAAGATTCTGTATGCTGGGAAGCGTTTGAGTCAGGGTGGTATTTAGGACTCCATAAGACATATTTATGTACATTTTGCTCTCCCCTCTTTGCCATTAAGTTGTTCATTCCTTGGGAATAGTGACCTTCCTGTCCATCTTCGAGGTTCTCACCACACCCATTATGTGCCTCTAATTTAGTAGGTGCTAAATAAGTTTTTTTTAAATTGATTGATTTTAGAGAGAGAGGAATGGGGAGAGAGAGGGAGAGAAGCATCGATTTTGTTGTTCCACTTATTTATGCATTCATTGGTTGATTCTTGTATGTGTCCTGACCAGGGATCGTGCCCATAACCTTGGCGCATCAGAACAGCACCCTAACCAACTGAGCTACCCAACCAGAGCTGAATAATTTTTGAATGAATTACTTATAAGTAACTGAATGGGTCAGTACGTTTGTCTGGATGTATGAGGCATCCTGTCGGTGTCAGCATAGTAGACAGTTACTTAGACACCCTTGAATAAAAATGATCCTGTGCTCTTGGGGATAGGTCATTCTTTGTGAACCAATATATGGCTCCGGAACCAATGAAAAGAAGGAGCAACACCCAGCCCCCTTAGGCAGCCAGGCAGGAGAGCTGGTTCTTTCTTGGTTTTCCCACCAGAGTTAGACATCTAATTCATACAGTTTCAGAAATGAGGTTTTAACCTTCTTTGCCATCTCTAGATAGCGGTAACTGTATATAAGCCCTAACCTGTTGAAGCCATTCTAAGTTAAAACAGATGCTATGTCTTTTCTAACTTAAACTGGTAATTCTGAAACTCAGTTCAGTTAAAATCAACGTTGGGGTGTAAATCTGCATTTTCATCCTCACTGTGAGATTTCCCAAACATGAAGTACTTTTAATTGTCCCTTACGGGCTTCCTTTTGGCCTCTGGCAATTTTAATTTGTCAAATTGCAGAGTATTTACCCTGTTAAAGGAACAGGTTTACCTGGGCCTTGGAACGTCATGTGTATAGCCCAGCACACAGTGGGCCCCGGTGTGTTCCCCTGAGGACCCTGCAGTAAAGGATGCACCACAGACGTCCTCAGGGCCCCCCAGATGCCAGCTTCCCTGGAGAGGGCAGGGGGCACGCAATTCAGAATACACACAGTGAGCTGCAGCGTCCCTCAGCCGTTCTCGTTCTGGCGGTGACCTTGAAGTTCTTGTGAGAAAGATACCACTCAGCCTAGGAACGCACGACTTTTGATATAGGTGCTTTGTTCTATTTTTGTTTTGTTTGTTTGTTCTTAACCAGAATTATTTATGAGAATTATGAGAATATTTCTTTGAGCAGCTCTGATTGAATAGACATGGTACATGGGCCAATTGAGTGCAGTTTAAAAAAATAACAGATCTATAGAATATTTCTCTATGGATGTTATAGTAAAAAAGCAAAACTTAGCCCTCTCCCATCTCTTAATCATACACAGTAGAAAACATTACTCTATTATGCATGAGAACAAATGCCAACAGTGTCTACCAGAGCTCTTTTATGTCATATGTCTTGAAAATTATTATCACAGTAAATATTAGACTACCAAATAATCAGGCAGTCGAAACCACGTGCAGTGAGATGAAAGGTAGGTGACAGCTGAAAATGGGGTTTGAAGTACATGTTTTTCTTACCTAATCAGTTGTTTTAATATCCTGCCTCCTTATCTTAGCAAAGGATGAAACTCATTTAAAACCTCCCCTAGGGAGTTTTCTGAGATAACCCTGGTACATTGTCATCTTACGGTCTTCAGGGCACTTAGAGGATGGATTGTAAGCATTTAAAAAAATGTTTAATGATATTCTTTCTTACCACTTGTGTTGTATTAATTTCTCACATTTTCCCCTAACTAAAATGTACATTGCTTAAATTAGGGGTCATTTACCTAGACCAGTTTTTAATTATAGTCCTTCCTACCTAATCACGCAGAGGAGTTTACAGAGTGCCTGCCAAACAACTCTAAGATCCTAATGGATGTCTCTGAGGGGTTTGTAATAAATGTCCTTGCTGAGCCCAACTTCTGGGATTCATTCCAATATATTTTATTTGGTTTAATCTTTTTGTAGTGACGGATTATAACATTACTGGTTTCATAAAAATGTTACATACTTTTAAAATAAATCAATGCAGAAAAAGGAAAATAAAATTTGAAAAATAAGACTAAATCTATCATCCAAAATAATTTCTTCCAGTGTTTTATAAACATTATTTGACATCTCTTTATGTGTAAGTATAGCCACAGGTCATCATAGAAAAACTGTGTTATGCCATTTAAATCAAAAGTATTAAATTTAATTATGCTTAGGCTGAATAATAAAAAACAGAAGTAAAATAGAAAGTTGCTAAACATTGCCACAAGATATATTTATAGCTAAAAGTTCTCTCCAAAGATATTAAAAATAGGAAAAACCAAAATAGCACTGATTATCTTTTTAAAGTACTCATTTAACTTTAGAAAGTATATTGTAAAGGCTAGAGAAATAGACTTACAGCCCCTCCTACCTCCACGTTCCTGTTAGTTTTATTATTTTTCAAACATCAGGGTTGTTAACATTTATATTCTGTTTTGTAATCAGAATTCCCATAGTTCATTAACCCTGGTACTATATTTTTATGGATTCAGTGCTCCCTGGGAGACTTTGTACACAATTTTTTCATTTATGAAGGCTACATGGATTCATGTTGTAGATGGTTAGATTTTGACCTCAGTTAAATTTTTTCCCCCCCTTAGACTTCACTCTTTGGAAGCCCGTTTTTCTCCTAGCTCTTTNTTTCCCCCCCTTAGACTTCACTCTTTGGAAGCCCGTTTTTCTCCTAGCTCTTTCAGAACCATTCCCCTCTCGTTCCTTTGATGCAATGAAGAACTCTTCATTTTGAACGCTTTCTGTGTTTTCCTCTCATCACAAAAGGCTCTGGCCTGCTCTGGTGTGTGCTCCTTCTCTCTGTGTGACTGGTATGTCTCTGTCTCTGTGTTTGTGCGTTTTACGGATAAATCGAGTGTGGGTTCCCTTCTGGGAAGTATGAGTGTTTCAGCCAGCAGTCTACCCAGTGATCAACAAGAGCACCAGACTCTGCAGCCTTCCTCAGCTTGGTGCTCATCCAACGCCCTGTGGTCAAAATAACAGAGAATTTCCCTGACCCTGATTGGACCCATTCCCATGATTTTTATCTTGGAATAGCCTAGCGTCTTCTCATATAGCATAGACTCTCACTGTGGCAGTTGGGCCACCGTTGCTTCTCCTCCCTCCTTCTAACAGCCTCAGCTGCTTTACACTCTCTAGTGTCCAGGAGTTAGACACTAAAATGACTGCATCTTTTTCTTCCTCTGATTACTGTAGGGAGATGAGATACCAGCTTTAACAAGATAAGACAATCAGATATAATTGGATTGTTCTTAAGCCAATTAAGAGTAAGTGCATGAGGATAATTAAAGAGGAATTAAACATTCTGCATGGCAGCAGATTTAGCAATAATTTCATCTGCTCTGTTTTTGTTCCAAAATTATGAAACATATTTTTGCTTAGAGGGACATCTTTGAAATAGCTTTTCTTCTGGCGTTGCCGTAAATGACCATGTCCTCTCAGAATCTTTTTCTTCCTATGATATTCTTAACGATTTTGAACCATACTAAAAAGTAACCAGCAGTGAATCGCTACTTCTCACATTGCTCATAACATGTATTTCAAAACTTTTTCAGTTTTCTCATTTCCCCAACCCCCCCTCTCAATCAGAATTACTGTTGGTAAATGACCTCAGTTCCTTCATATGGAGAATATTTAGGCCTTACAAAAAAAAAATTTCGACAAATTCCTTTCTTATGGTTTTCAACATTTCCCTTTCTAGGTTTTACCTTTGCCTCTGATGAGAAAAGAAGCTTCTTCCTAATTCTCTCCCTGTGTTTTTGTGTGTGTTTTTTTTCCAGTTGTGAAGTTCTTTAAACATACAGATGCTAATAAAGCAGACATCTACACATCCGTCTCCTTGACTCAACAAATATTAGGAGTTTGCTAGATTTGCTTTAGATTTTTAAGATAGATGCAACTTTTGTGCTTTTGTGTTTCTAAGTGAGATTGGCCAAGAAATTTTCTCTCTTATTCTATCTTTTATTCTCATTTTGGGATAAAGGTTATATTAACTTCACGAAATGAATTAATAAGCTGTCTTTCATTACCTGTTCACTGGAATATGTGTAACATGAAGTAATGGTGTATGGTAAAATTCATCTTTAGAGCTATTTCTAATAAGTGCTGTTTGTACATGTGGGCTGGGGGGGGTGTGTGTGCCTATTTTTCCATTTTTAAATAGATTTATACAAATTCAGGTTTTCTAGTTTTGAGTTAAATTTGAAAATTTATAAACTTACAGTTTATCTGTCTTCAAAGATATTGGCTAAAGTCATAGTATTATATTATGCTTTTTAAAATCTACTTTTAATTATAATTATACTTGCCTTGTAAATCTATATTATATCCCAAACTATGTGCCTACCTTTCATTCCTATTCATGTTCATTTCTACCATCCCTCATTAGAGGTATGCCTATTTTATTAGTCTAATAAAAGAAAAATTATTTTTTCCTTTTTTTCAATTTCACAAATGCCTACCTCTAATATATAGTTTACCGTCAGAACCAGTTAAACTGCATTTTACAGATTTTGGCATTATCATTCAGAATGCAGATATTTTGTAATTTTTATTGCAAATTTTTCCTTTAACTTATGAAATATTTAGAAATGTGCAACTATGTAATGGGATGGGGGATTGGACAGTTGTCTGATGTATCATAGTATTGCTTTTTTTGTTGTTTTGAAGGTCTGCCTAGTGTTTCTTCCCTTATCTCCTCATTTATCAATTGTATGTCATTTTCATTTTAAGTATATCACTTGTAAGGATCATATAATTGGATCGTATTACTTTTTTAATCTAATACAGAAATTTCTTTATATTTGTTTTGTGTTGGACTTAATTTTTAAAAGTTCATCCCTCTTTTATACCTTCCATTCGATTGACTAAGTTTTCCTTCCATGCATTTATTTTGAAGTTATGAGTCTACCTCCTCCCCCTAGAGAGTTTTAACAAAGTAAAGAACTAGTTTGTATCTCTCCTGTTTTCCCCAAATGCCAGGGTTTTATACTATTCTCATTTCAATCACACCTTCCCATCTTGCATGCAATTACTGGCTACTATTTTATTTCCACTTGTTTTAACTTTCATTAGTTATTAGTATTATTTTTCACTGTGAAGTTTATTTGGAGTTACTTGTGTCTATTAGTCTTTTAAGTTTACCATTGCTTTCGCTACCTACTCATCCCTGCTTCCATTTAACTTCTTTATTTGTTAAGAACATTTACTGGTTATTTCAGCAAGATTCTCTAAGGGATAGAGCTTCCATTTTGGATACTGAAAGTGTTCTTGTATCATTGCCATTTTGAGAGACTGTTTTTAATGAAATTCTAGATTGACACTTCTTTTCTCTTGGCCTTTGAAAATACTCCACTGTCATCTCTTACCTATTGAGGATAAGGTGTCTGTGTCTTATTGTCATCCTTTGGAGGTAATCTATTTTTGTTCAAAATTGTCCTAAGACATTCTTCTTATTTTTGATGTTTTGTGATTTCAACACATCAAATGAGTATTTGTCCTTCTTCAGATTTAGTCTTGCTTTGATGATTTGTCATTTTTTCAATTCTTAAGATTTCAACCATTAGATCTTCAAATAGTGCCTCTCTGCCACCTGCTGTGTTTTTTCATTCGGAAACCCCTACAGATGTGCATTCAAGCTGCTTTTTCTGTTCCCTGTATTTCGTTTTCTATCCTGTTTTTTCACTTACCATTTTCTGTGCTGTATTCTAGATTTTGTCATCAACTCTCTATTTTATTTAATACGTTTTTCCTTTGCCGTGTGCATTGAATATTTAAAAAAATTTTTAAACACTAATTTTGTTGGACAGTCTATATGGTCCTATTTCAAGTTTGCCTATTTTTTAAAATCGTAGTGTCCTGTTTTTCATAATAGTTTTTATTCTTTCTTTTGTCTCTAATTATTTAAAACAAAGGCCAGAAATTTTTCTGTCAGAAGACAGAGAGGTAATACTGTAGGTTTTGCAGGTCATGTGATTTCTTTCACAGCTATTCAACTCTGAATGGTAGTGCTAATAACATAATTTATTGAGCCCTGATTGAATACATACTCTATTAAAATCACATTCAAATGGTTGTCTTAACTCAAGTAACAAAGAGTGGAAATTCTTCTGTTTGATGCATCAGCTGACTATCCCTTATGGTAGATTTTTTTCTTGTGTCATAATTTCGAGTTGTGAACTCTGCATATAGCCCTCTGTTGGAGGTCAGTGTGCCTTGAGTTGTAGAATTATCCTTCAAAGCATACTGGCATTGCAGACCTTGCAGCTAATATTTTATGAAGGTTTGCTTTTTAAATCATTACTCTCAGACTACCTCGAATTAGAGTCTTCTGAAATAATCCAGTGCGTGGTGCTTCACCTGACACATGGGGAGCACACAGGTGTCAGAGCTCCCAGTAACTCTAGTAAAACTAACAGCACTGTTATTATTCATTCTATGCATTATAGAATCTACAAATACTGTAACTGTTTCCATTTATGCTCCCAAAGTTTTTTAAAATTCTGGTAACTTGGAAGAACATAATTAAAGTACTTCTTTATCTAGAACTGGTGCTACTTTGAGTTAAAAATATAGACGTATTGAGTGAAGTATACATTATGAAAACTAAAGACAACTAAGGCAAGAGAGAAACACAAAGAAGCTTTGGAGAATTCCTTCTGAAGTACCATTTTTAAAAGGGATAGAATTAAATATATTCATGAATATATATGTGTATATATATATATGTTCAGTATACACATATATTTATGTGTATACGTGCATGGTTTTCCAGTCTATAATAAATTCGTGCCTCTTGCTCTTTGTCACAGGACACTTGAAATGGACCAAAGCTGAGGACATTGACATAGAAACCCCAGGATCTATTCTTGTCAACACTAATTTGAGGGCATTAATAAATAAACATACATTTGCATCCTTACCTCAGCATTTTCAACAATACCTCCTGCTTTTGCTCCCAGAGGTGGATAGGCAGGTAAGTAGAAGTTTAGACATTTGATATTAGTCACCAGTTATATTATTATGACGTGGCAAGTGTATTATCGAAGACTGATACGTGGATGGACTGTTTTGTAATAATATAGTATATTTATGCAATTTATTACTTATTGCTAGCATTGGTGTATTTGTTGAACCTGCCAAAACAAAACCAATTTTTATTATCAGCAGTGAGCCAGTTCAAAATTGAAAATACAGCACATTGCTGTAGAGTGAAAACAATAGACCTACCCACAATGGGAAGGAAAAACTGAGAAATCAAACATTCCATTATCAAATAAATCTTTGAAGTAGCTGCTCCCTTGCCTGGAGGGAATATTGCAGTGCAGCAATAAAAAGCCAGGGTTTCTAAGAAATTATGTAAATATTTTTATTCTCAACTCTTTCCAAAAAGCATTTAAAATTTATGTTTGCAGTTACATCCTGAGAGTCTATCATCATGAATACGATTGCCTATAAATAATCACCTTGTATCCTTTTTTTTAGTATAACTGGAAATGCTTTAAGTGTATTTTTGTATTTTTGAAAAGCCTCTAAAATAAGGAAATACAGATATAGACCCACAATAGCAGGCATCAATCATCTTCTAAAGCTGTTTCCTTAGAAAAGGAAAAAAAAAATCACATAAACTTTATTAAGTTTCACAAAAATTATTAAATGGCAAATAGGAAACATTTCCTTGTGATTCTAATTTCAATAAATTTTGACACTATATAGTCTCCAGTTGATGGGCATAGTGTGTGTAAGTTTATGAATTTGTATGAATTCACAGAATGAATTTACATCGCAAAATGATAGGTACGTCCATAAATTGAAATGGGAAAGATTGATTCAATGTTTCCACATTACTTAGAATAATTTTTTTAGCTTTTTATTTGATTCTATTTCTACTAACTTACCTCCTTTCATATATACTTAAAATTTGTTGAGCTATATAGTTTTCTATCATTCTTTGGTGGAGATTATTGTTCATATTTGGAAAAGTATTATTTTCATTTTGCATACATTTTTGTTTGGAAGTTTGCCTTCATTCTATAAAAAATGTTTACTATTTACTATGAATATGATGTTTTAGGTGCTTTGGAATAATGGAAAGACAGTGACTGTTAAATGTTTATGAAATTAATGATTACATACACTGTAGTTGGATCTATATTTATAAAAATCACAACATGGTGTAGAAATAGGTGAGCCTAAGGGGGAAAAGCAGAAAGGATATTGAGCTTTCATATGCAAAAGGGAAGAATCAGAGACAAATTTAAGATTGTGTCTTGAAATTTGAAAAAAAATTAAGATTGGGCAGAATTGGGAAAAAAATGATGGAAATATAACAAGGGCTTGTTCAAAGATACAAAATTGAGAGCTCATTTTGTGGGAATCTGGGTTTTAGGTAGAATGGTGCAAATGAATCTGGGGAGACAAATTAGAAGCTGATTTTGGAAGATTCTTGCCTATGAAGCTAAAAGGTCCTGAACAGTGTTCTCCCTGTGTTTGCAGTGCGAAGCCATTGAGGGCTTTTGAGCAGAGCTATAATATATAATACTGTTGCTCTTTAAGAAAATTATTCAAGCGGTACTAAAAAGGAGTGTTAGAGATGGGAAGCATGAAACTAGGAAGAGTGGTTAGAAAGCAATTTTGGTTTTCCCAAAAGGCAAAATGAGGGCTTGAATTGGGAAAATAGCATTGAAATTAAAGAGGGGGATGTCATTATCTTCATCAGCATCATCCAGTGGAAGCAGTTTTACAAGCTGTCAAGTAACTGTTGAAGTAAGATATAGGGAGAAGCTACTGAGGACTCTTGGATTCCAAGCTTGTATGCTTGAGATTGAGTTCAGGAATTAAGGAGCACTTTTACTTATTTTTTTATGGTGTTGGGGACTGATTTTTTAGTCACACACTATTTCCTCCACTTCAACATTGTGTGGTTTATCGCGTTTGCTATTCTGTCTCCAGCTCCTCGAATAAGATTTGGCATGTACAGGATATTCAGTACATCTTTTTGGAATGAAGAAATGACAGGTTGTCCTCGGTTTAGCCAAATAGTTCAGTAACCCAGGAGGCCAGTCTAAGCCCAATATTTTATTCAACCTGTAGCAGTTTCTGTTACTCAGCTTTTTCTAGTCAACTGTGAGAAATGTAAATGATGCATAATACCTGTCCACAGCTAACAGGTCAACAGGGAAATACTTTTCAAGAAATATTTATTGAGCATGTATTATGTGCTACATACACTTTGCTAAACATAGAGGATACAAGAATGAATCTTCTAGAGGAATTACAGACTGAGGAGAAAGACAACCTCCTGCTACAATACTGTACAATACAGTGGTGCCTCGGTTTTCGAATGTGATCCATTCCGGAGACTGTCCAAGTTCTGAAATGTTGGAAAAATGAGGGATCCACAGCCGACAGCTGGGCCTCAGAACTTGCCCTTAGTGAAAGCCTTGTAGCATGTTCGACTTCCGAGGCGGGTTCGAAAAATGAAGCATTTTCTTACGGGTTTACCGTGTTCATAACCTGAAATATTCGTCAACGAAGACTTTCGAAAACCGAGGCGCCACTGTAAACACTTTGCTCATTACTAGGAAAGAAGTCTAAAAACTCTATGGATCTACACCAAATTTAGGATAAGACTGGACAAAGTAATATAAATGTCAAAATGGAAGAATAAAGAACACCCTCTGAGCACACAGAGGATGAAGAACTTTAGCCTGAAAGTAGTATTGGGGAAGATTTCATGGTGGGAGGGATACTTGAACCTTGGACTAATAGGTGTTTCATACGTAGAATCGAGGGACATTGAATTGTACAGAGGGAGAGCACGTTGCACAGAGACTTGATGTCTGTGTGTACCAGAAGGTTCAGAAGTCACCAGAAGGTTCAGAAGTTCAGTATGACGAGGCCAGGGGAAGAGATGGGATACTGAGCTGAAGGGTAGTGTGGTTGACAGCCTTGATGACCTGGCTTCAGACTAAGCTCTTTGAACTTTTTCTGAAAGGAATGGGTACCATAAGAGATTTTTCAAATGAGAAACGGCAGGCATGGGTTAATTTATACAATATTTTAGTGCCTGGACAGAGAGGAGGGGAAGAAGATCCAAAGGATAAACAAGATACAGTCTTTATTTTCTCTTAAGAGCCAATAGCCCTGTGAATAATGGGTTGGACAGGCAGAAAGTTAAAACATGGGGAGACTGGTTAGGAGACGATTATAGTGGTTGAGCTCTGAGATAAGGGCCTGACCCTGGGCTTTGGACTTGGAAGTGAAAAGAAAGGTCTTAATTCCAGCATATTTTCAACCCAGATGAGCAGGGAAAAATGACAGATTGCCCGAGAGATGGGGTTGTAAAAGGACTAGAAGGCAACTGGAGATTTTATCTAGGGTGACTTGGGAAGACAGAAAGGCTCTGTGGTCCTATCAACATTTGATTCCAAGAAATTTAGAACTCTCCCTCTCTGTCTCAATGTGAGCTCAACTGCTGATGTGAATCGTTACATAGATTTATTTAGCCAATGGAAGGTACTCTAATTATGTGAAATACCTAAGAATTTCACTTGCATGAAAGCTGTCTTCACATAGTTTTTAAAAATTTGAAATTCCCAGCTTTCTTGTTTCCTTCCTTTGATTATCCCATGTTTCTGCCTGATTTCTCCCCTGAAGCAGCCATACAGGGCCTCCCACTCTGGACCATATGAAGCCAGGGTTCATTGCATTATTACAGCTCAAAATACAAGAAGCTAGGTTTCCCATTTATCTTGTCAGTGCCAACTATCATTAAACTAGTCTGTCTGGTATTTTTTTCCTTATATTCGTACCTCTCTTTCTTTTTTAGAAGGCATTTTTCTCTTAGATTACATTTTTTATTTACTCCTCCTTGTTTTATAACATTGTCATATCTAGTTTTATACTTAATTTTACTCTCCACACATTTTGCTGCAAAGTAACAGAAAATAGAAACTCAAACTGATTTAAATATAAAGGGGATTTGTTAGCTCAGGTAATTAGAAGAGAGAGGTTAGCGTGGGCTTCTGGTTGTTGACCCTGGTTTCAGTTATTATTAAGGACCCATTTAATTATTACTTAGTGAATTAATTTTAAAATCTCCCTGGCTAATGGCACTATTCTAAACCTGAATCCCTTTGTAGTAGGATGGCTACCTGGATCAAAATATGGCTACTTGCCTCTTGGTGCATATTCATGTAGAAAATACTTCTGTTTCAAGATTTCAAAGAAAAGACCTAAGAGTCACACTAAGGGCACTACTCAGACCACATGACCACTTCTTAAACAGTGGTGCTGGCCAAGGAAATGGACTGTGCAGATTGGTTTAAAGAAACCAGGCCTGCTCTTGAACCTTAGAAGTAAAATGGTGCACTGTGGTAGAGGTCAGATATACTTCGGAAACCTGGCTTTTAGGAACTTCTATTAGAAGGATATGTAATGGGAGTGGGATGGGTAGAAGCTTGGTAGTCAATTAACAGTGCCCAGCGTAGGGGCGGGGTAGGTGTTGAGTTGAGTTTTAACATACTGGGTGGAAATGCTTATACTATATGAAATACCCAGAAATGATTATGTATTCAGGTTTTGGGACTAGATAAAATGGAGTAAGTGATAAAATCTACATACATACTCATGTCAGCTATGGAATTTGAGGAGACTGAGTGTTGTCATCCCAGAGGAATACATACATGTGAGAGAGTGTAGTTAAGAAGGAGTATGGCAGAGAGCCACGGAATAGATAGAAAATACAAGTCCACGAGGAATCGTCAGTGTGGAGATCACATGCAGGCAGCAGTGGCAAATGGACATTAGGAGGTCACTGAGGAGTAGGATGAGTGTCTGTCCCTTGTCCCTCTAGACCCGCCCCTCATCTTTCTTCACTCTGCTTAGCTCTGGGAGGCTAATTCATATATGGACTACTGCACCAGGGGGACCTATGCCTCCTATGTGTGTGTGTGTGTTTAAGTTTTGAAATAA